ACACTGTGGAAGGCAATTTGGGAGTATGCATCAAATGACTTAAAAAGTGCATGTCTTTTTGACCCAGTATTCAACTTTCGGAAGTTTAATCCCCAAACTTCCAAAATTCACAGTACATTCATACAATGGAATACAATGCAGCCCTTTAAAAAATGAGATAGAGCTATATGTAACTAACCTGGAAATAAGTCCACAATATAGTTAGTGTAAGAAAGCATTCGAAAATGGTACATGACATTGTATCTTTTTTGTCCTAAATAATGAAAAGTACACAAAGAAAAAAAGCTCGTGGGCTACAGACTTCCTTGGTGCTACTTCAAAGAAATGAAATCAGTGGCTCTACCTTTCTATCTATGCACTTTCGTATTGTCAGAATTTTCTTTTACAAAATGTATGTAACTTTCCCATTTAGAAAAAATAAAAATATTTCGTTTTATTGGATGAAGTGTCTAGCACACATGTATACACACATACTACGTAAAATGAGCACCCACAACACGTCATTTTACTAGCTGCACAGTAGGGCTGTGTCATAATTTGTTCAAGCAATTCTCTATTTTGGATATGTAGGTTGTTTCCAAGTTTTTGCTATGATAAGCAGAACTCAGATGGAAAGCCTTGTGGATAAATATTTGCATGTATTTTTAATTATTTTTTCAGAATGAATTCCTAGAATTCAAGGCTCAAGATGTGAGCACAGTTAAAGAATTGTGACCCATGTTGCAAAATCAGCCCATAAAATGCCAGGGCCAATTTACTTTTTCAAGTACGATATGGGGGTAGACTTTCCCCTTTACCCAAGCCTGACTATCATTTCTCTAAGTTTTAACATTCTGGTGAGTAAAATGACACAACATTATGTTTTTTTGTATTTCTTTAATTACTAAGGAAAATATCATTCAGAGTCACTTATCGGGCATCTGTTATTATTGTGTGAACTGAGATCTCTTGCCCACCTCTCTACCAGGATCTTTAAGAGTTCTTTACGTAACATTAGCCTTTTGTTAATATATGTCACTTTGCTAATATATGTCACTTGCCTTTTCTCTTTGTTTAAGGCATTTTTTATGTTCAGAAATTTTCAATTTGTATATATTTTTTCAACAATAAAATCACTTGGAATTCCAAGTTACTGACTCATAAATGGACATTTGAAATAACCCAGTTGTACCTCTGGGGTCTTGTATACTAGTTACTTCATCGTATGTTTTCATATCTTTTCTGCATAGTAGCTCCTTGAAGGCACAGGGCAGGGCATTTCTTGAAGCCACCATAGCAACCAGCTCACATCCCAGGCCATAGCAGAGCTCCAGAATATCTGACATGAAAAATACTATGTCTGGGACCTGCCTTGAAGCAATCCAGTTTAGGGTGGGACGTGAAAATGGGGTAACGAAAAAAACAGATTAGCCACATGTTAATCATTGTTGAAGCTGGGTGACGGGTACATGGAGTTCATTATACTATCATTTCCACTTTTTTGTATATTTGAAATTTTCCGTAATCAAAAGGGTATTTTTTTGTGTGTTTGCTTGATTGATTGGTCAACAGCATCATAGAGGGGCCATCTAGAATAACAATGGTAATGCAAGTAAATGGCACACGCATCAAGGACCCTTCTGTAGCATAAAAAAGTTAAGAGCACAGGCCTTGAGATTAGGCAGGCCTGGGTATGAGTCCTCAGAGACCTTGACATAGGTATTCAACCCCTCTGAAACGCAGTTTCCCAGTATAAATGAGGGTATTAATAACTACCTCTAAATGTTCTAGTAAAGAGGAATGGGCGTAAAACCAAGCAACACTCAATAAAGAGTTGCCATCATTATTATTCAGTGATGCACAAACTTGACAAGCTCCAGCCAACTCTTCCTAGTGACAGTGATCCAAGACCCTTCCACTACAGCTGTGACTTCAGTCAGTCACATTGGGCATCAGACAACAGCTCGGCGGAAGACTTGGTAGAACACATGTCAGGAGTTACATTCCTGTACCCAGAAGAGAAAACAGAGAGGCCCGTAGGAAAAGACAAAACCAGTAGCTCCCAGCCTTACTCAACAGGTCATCAAAAAGCCCAAAGTCCACATTCCAATGATGCAACCAACAATGAGAGTGATGAAGCCCTTATGACAGCAGGTCATTTACAACTTGGACCCAACACTGGCATCCCCTGGGGAGCTTGAAATAATAACCACATCTGGGATGTGGAATAGGTATCAAGGTTTTTAAAAACCTAATGTGATCTAGTGTCTACCATTCTGCTGTGTGAGCGAGGGTTGGGGGCTGCAAGGGAAGAGGACAAGGAAAACAAATTGGAGAACGGAGACCACTGGGTCCCACATGAGGCCCGTGAAAGCCAACCCAGTCACGTGTCCCAAGCTGTGTCCCAGGCCAGACAAACCCAGTCCCATCAGGGTCCCCTCACTCCCTCCATAAACTTCAAGAACATGTTGCTGTGTAACAATTTGCAGGGTTAAAATATGTTATCAACCCCAGGATGCATGCATGTGAATATCCTAAACAATATTAAAATAATGTAGCTGGTCTCTGGCTTTTGGTCTTAAAAAAAAAAAAAAAAGAAAGTCCAGCTAAGTGATAGTGGAGGCTGGGGGAGGGAGAAAAGCGTTTTTTTCTCATAGCCTTCTGGCAGCCTGTCAATGCAGTTGAAGCACACTCAAAGAGGCAGCCTCATTTTGTGAAGTTATTGCAGTGTCTTTGATCAAGGGAAAAAGCACATCCATTTCAATCACTATAATGGGGATGGGCTGGCTGTCTGGTTGCCTGGCTGCCCAGCGGGGTGAGCCAGGCTCGAGCCGGCAGACACATGGCAGTGCTTAGTGTGTCAGACAAATGAGGGGGCTCTTGACTGTCTATCCAACCTTTGCTGAACTTCAGGGGCCCCCTCACTCAGCAATCCTGCCCGGATTAATCTGGAAGTTCCTCTCCCTGGCAAACACCACCTGGTCCAGCCTGGCCTCAGCAAAACAAAAAGCTAGCCGGTGGCTGTCTGTCACGAGGCGGCAAACGCTTCAGAACCAGGAGGGCAGGGGTCAACTGTTCTCATAAGCAACACACTCAGGATTGCACAAGCCTACAGAAGGGGGAAGAAAGAGTTCGTCGCCACCTCCCTATTACCTTTACCCCCATCTCAGTCCCAAATGCAGCTTCGAGAGGTTTGATTTTCTCCCACAGACACGAATTCTCAGCAGTGTGGTTTCAAATATATATACAGAGGTCACCTGCATTCTTTTCACTAGAATAAATAATAAATAAAGAATGGATGGTGGGGAGAGGGGCTTTGACCAAAAGTTTTCTTTTCCATAACATCTGTAATATCTTGGGAAGATCTGAGCAGTAGAACCAGAGTAGAGATGGGGATAATGATGATGATAATGACAGACACTGAGGTAGCATTTATGTGCTCCAAGTGCTTTACACATGTTAACTCACTTAATGCTTATCACAGCCCTATGAGGTCAGCTACAGCAATACTCATTAATAATAGGAACAATAATAGTAACATATAATATGCATAATATAATAATTTTATGATATAAAATAATGGAGACAATAATCCCCTTTTCTCACGTAAGGATATTGTGACCCAGAGAAGTTCAGCGGCTTGCCTGAGGTGGCGGGTGGGATTCAGGCAGTCTGGCTCCAGGAGCAGCGCGCTAACCACAGCACTAGACTGCCTCCTTCCGGTCTGCACCTCACAGCCTCCTTCAAAGCTGCCAGTTCCAAGAACAGCAGAGTATGAAGGACTCTGGAGGGCTTTGGAGCCAGAGGGATCTCAGCTGGACTCCCAACTCAGCCACTCCGCATCCCGCTATGGTTGCATCTTCTGCAAATGGCGATAGTAACACCTACCTGGCAGGCTTGGGGTGAGAAAATGAACAAAAGCACCTCTCACAGGGTCGGCAGCCAAGGTCAGCTTAACCCAGTGGCTCTCAGTCCTGGCTGAACGTTTGAATCAGTGGGGAAACTTTTAAAAATATGAGGCCCAGTCCCTACCCCATCACCCCTCCACATTTCCACCCCAACAGCCACTATGTCTGAAATCAGTAATCTCCTGGGCCCAGTCCTGAAATGAAACCCGAAACCCAGTGGACCGAAGGACAGTCTGCCCCCCTTGCCCATAGATTCAGAATTACAGGGAAGCTTTTAAACCTCTGAGGCCTCGGCCTCCAGCCCTCAAGTAGTAGGATTCCCCAAATGCCACTCCAGTCCACAAAGGGAATCTCAGCAGCCGGCCCATCCCAAGCAAGTGGTTGACCCACCCTTGTCCAGGGACCTCCCCCACTTTTGTCCAGACAGTGCCTTCATCCAGCCGCCTCTGCCCCCCAGACTGTCCCCACCTCCGGCCTAAAAACTTTACCACCCTGTTGTCCCATGCTACCCATGTTTCCATCTGTGCCAAGTTCAACATAGCCAGCGTTACTTGTACACTAGCTCTAACCGGATCACCCAGGATGAGAGGTAGAACTGCCTGAAAAGAAAATTTTAAATTTGACTGCATGCATCCACAAGTGCACACACACACACACACACATACTCCAAGAACCACAGACACTTTACACTCAATGGGACCACGGCTTCATTTGAGGCTAGGGGTAGGAAGAAGAGGGGGTACAGAAGGGGTAGCCATAATCAGTGAAGGGAGCCCTGGGGCTGCCCATGGAAACTGGCGGGAATAAGGAAAAACAATCAGCCTGCATTTGACAGAAGAGAAAAGTGGAGACGGCCGGCAGGGAGGACGGGACCAAGCCATGCCAGTTTCCTGGCGCAAACCTCCATGAGCCTTTTAGGACCCACTGCCAGCTGGCAAGAGGTGGTGTGGGGGCCCAGGAGGGGGAATGCAGGCACCAGAAGGCAGCACAGAGGGGTGTCAAAGAGCCCTCAGCCGTTTCCAGAAAGCGAGGCTCTCAGGGCCCTCCTGCTCCAGGCACCTCCCCGCGGCCTCCGTCCAGGACCCGGGCCTGAGAGACTTGGCCAAGGTCTACCTGGGTAAAGGAGCCATCCTCGCCGCACTCCGGGACAAACACCGCCTCCTGGGGCTTCTTGGCTTGCTCTAGGGCCTGAGCCCGCTCCAGGCGACACTTGCTCTGGCCAGCGTCTAGGAGAGGAGAGGAGTCAGTGCGTTTCAGACTTCACTTGGATCCCACCCAGGAGCCGTGGACAAAATGGCTGCCCGGTTCCAGAAATACTGGGAGAAAAGCTCCGGCCTGTGGGGAGCCCACACGCAGCCAAGTGGCTTTTCTAAGAACACGAGGGCCAGAGCTAGTGAGTGCCATGCGGCCTCACCTTCCTCTTAATGTTATTCTTACATATTTATACCGGGTTCTATTACTTTTTTTTTCTCCCAAATATCCCCAGTCCCTCCTGGGGGGTGGGGGTGGGGAATATTCTACTTCTATTATTTATCACTGGCTTTATTCAAACATGGGCAAGCCCCAGGAGTCTCAAAGACGTTTTGTAGTTCAAGAACTTCAAGCACCTTCTTTGCAAAATCAGAAGTTCTAGGTCAGCCGGCTTAGCCTTCCACAACCCCTACAACAGCTCTAGGCAGCCCTGGGATCACAAACTCCAACACCACCAGGGGTAGGAAAGCGACAGAAATTAGAGAAATGAGCTGAGTATACAAAGAATATCATTCAGCTCGGGGATGCCATAGGGAAGGCTGAGGACTGCGGCAAACTAGAGAGCAGGTTCCCCTTTGAAGGAGGTAGCTTCTACTCAGCCTCAGCCCCTGCCATGGGTTTTCCTTGTAAGAAGGAACACAGACTTAACACTACCAAAGCTTCCAATTTTTATGAGAAGTACAAAACCCCAGATTTTTATGTCGCATGTCCTAATTTTTAAATGTGGTCTCAAGTGTTTTTAATATTTTTAAACATGTGAGCAGACCAAACAAAATACATCTGTTGGCCAGCAATTTGGAATCCCTATTCAGGAGCCAGCCATAATGTCTTGCCATTTTAAGCATCTCTACAAAAAAAAATAATAATAATAATAAAAATTAAAAGCATTAGCCAAATAGCAACACATCTTTCAGCTGTAACCTGGGGGCAGTGTTCGAAACACAGGAAAGTAATCATCCTTCGCTTGGCCAGTCCTCCTTCCCATATTCCCCAGAGGACAGGGTTGGGGGGAGAGGATAGCAAATGAAAAGAACAGACTCATTCTGAGCGCCCCCTACGGGGAGTGCACCACGCAGGGAGCTGTGGCGCTCAGATGTGTCTCCTTGGCTGCGCAGGTACACACTCACCTTTGCATCTACCTCGATGCACCACACCCAGGTTTGGGTCTCTGCACTTGGCTCGCTGGTACTCACACATGGACTCATAGGACCGGCCATCGGAGGCACAGATAGGTTTGGGTTGAGTCCTGGAGCAATGGAGGTTGCACTGAGGGTCACGGTCACTAATGAGAAACTGGATTGGAAAAAAAAGTGAAAGGTTCAGACGTTACTTTTGCAAGAAGAGTAAAGGTGAGTCCATGACTTACAATATGAGTTTGCCCTTGGGAAGCAAGTCCAGTATGAATCCAAAGTTACTCAACCCTAGGAGGGGAAAGGAACTGAGCAGCCACAAACTCTGACAAGGAAGGCAATTTGTGCTGAGTAAATCCACACGCAGGATCTCACCTATTCTCACAACAGCCCTATGGAACAGGAGGTATCTATTTTGCAGATAAGGAAACTGAAGCCTAGAGAGAGGTAACTTGCCCAGTTCTATGTAGCTCTAAGTGATGAATTTGAACCTACATTGTCAGAGGTCAGGTCAAAACTCTCACCATTGGGACATTCGGTCTGTCCGTCTACACAGTGGGTCATTCTTGGGACCTCTATCTCGGCACTTTCCCAAATCAGGAACTCTCTAGCATCTCTGCTTTCCATTGTTGGAAATTTTTATTTATTAGTAAGTAGTACCCCTACCAAATCTATCACCCTTCAATTTCTGCCCACAGCTCTCTGGCAGAATACAAGCTAAGTAATTTTTCACATGAAAGGGATTTCCAGATTTGAGAAAATGATAATCCTCAGGTCATGAAATGCTACGTTAAACCGTTTTCTTTACTGCAGGCCTTCTCATACCTTTGGTACATTCTTATACATTATGAATCTCCAAGAGGAACAGGAAATTAAAGGCCGACAGCTACAAATTATTTGCTACTCTTCCCATCGAGCTGTGAAATCTAATTCCCGGACCTTGAATCTGGACTGGCCTCAGTAACTTGCTTGACCAGTAAAATGCTGCAACAGTGATATTTTGGGACTTCTGAGCAAGGTCATGTAAAGCGTTGCTGCCTCCTCCCAGGCCTCGTGCAACACTCGCTCTGGGGGAAACCAGCTGCCACACGAGAAGCCCGACACGCTGAGACCGCCACGCCATGAGGAAGCCCGAGCCAGCACGTGTGGAGAGAGACATGTCCATCTGACATGGGCGCAGAGGCCTGTTGGTAACGGAGCCTTCAGGTGAGACTAGCCACAGCAATCATCTGACTGCAACTTACAGAGATGAAAAGGAGTAACTGACCCCCAAAAGAGACCCACCCAGCTGAGCCCAGTCAACACACCAGAACTGTGAGAGAGAGAATGATAAGTTGTCATTTTAAACCATTAAGTTGTGCTGTAGTTTGTTACAGGGCAGGAGGTATCAAGATCAAGGGGCATATATGATGGGTCATCTCCCAAACCTGTTTGACCATGAACCCCTTTCTCAGGGAACCCCCGTTAACAACTGTAGAATGCAGCTGGAAAACAGTAAGTGGACTGTACAATCCATGAGCTTCTGCTGAATTACCCTGATTAGACTGCATGGGTCTTGAGAGCTGAGTCCACTCTTAACCACCTCTCTAGAGCAGAGCTGTGGACACACTGAAGGCTCTGCATCAGGGTGAGCAGCGAGAATGAATATCCCACAACAGCGCATGGCAAGGCCATGAGCACACCTCTGGCCGTCAGCGACGTCAGAGTTGACCGAGTAATCACACCAGCTCATAGAGGTTTCGAGAAGCTGTGACTGCAGTTTTTCCTACCTGCAGGCCCTTTATGTAAAGCACATCGATGAGAACATGTTGACCCTTTGCCAGAACAGCCGAAGGAGGTCCAGAGGCAGGACCACTCCCTTCAAGGGAACGCTGGAAACACACACCCCGTACTGGCCAAATCCCAGGAGAGTCCAAGCCTGCCCATGAATACACAGACTGCCTCCCAGCTGTAAGGCCAGTCCCTCTGGCTCTCCTGACCTCAAGCCTGGGTGCTTGAGTTACTCCGCACAGGGAGGCAGCAGCTGGGGCTGAAACCACCACACACACACAGGCTTATCAGGGTAGACAGTACAACCCAGCCTCTCTTCAGATCCCCTGGGCTCCCACCCTCACATGTTCAGCCCGAGTCCTGCCCAGGGCTCAAAGGGAAATGTCCTGATTGTGTCTCAGGATAGAGTCTAGAGTTTGGGGTAAAAATCAATAGTATACAGAGTCATAGCCAGAAGCAGCACCCTCCCCCACCCCAGGCTGCCATACGGAGGAGGGATGAGCTGACGGGACAGTGGGAGGGGGTGGTGTCATTCACAACTCAACCCTGCAGAGGATCAGCACCCCTCAGGCTGCCTCTGCCTAAAACCCTTGAGTGGTGCCCCATGGCTCTTGGGGACTTTCACACGGTGTGCTGGCCTGGCACACCTACTGCCCCGACCTCGCCTTGCTTGCTGCTGGTCAGGCACGATGGCCTGCCTCCCAGTTCCCAAAGGACCTACACCTGCCCCTACCCCCAGGCCTTTGGACACACTGTTCCTTCTCCCTTCTCTCCCACCCTTACTCTGATTTGGACTCAGCTGACTCTCACAGGTGAGGCTGGGTCCCCCCTATAATAACCTCTCACACCTCACTTTTCCTTCACAGCTCTTACCACAGTTTGTGATGATGAATTGCTTTGTGTGATTTGATTAGCAAAAGAATCCCTGACTCTGAGCTCCCAGGAGACAAGGGTCTGTCCATTCTACCAGTGAATGCATTCCCAGCATCCAGCGCAACAAGGGGACACTTGATTATTCGTGGGATGAATGCACCCCTGCGACAGCCTTTCCCACATGGTATTACCTCCAAATCAGCTTGTGCCATCTGACAGGACTGGTCTCCCAGGCTCAGGGGGATCAGTGGGCCACAGCCCTACCCCACCCTCTCCTTCTGAGCTCTCCCCCTCCCTCCCGCATTACATGGTGGGCAGAGGTAGGCCACAGCTTCTTGCCCGAGACCCCTTCAGAACTTAAGTCAGCTCTGAGGCCGAGAGGTGCGTCTATTCTCTCTCCATGCCCCCCCAGGCCCTTCAGCCACTACAGCCCCCCCAGCCTACAACAACTACGCATCAAAAAAATGGGACCCAAAGGTCCAGCTGAATAGGCAGGCTTGGAAGGCTTCTGGATGGACACAGGGTACAGGTGGCCGCAATCAGCAAAGATGGCCTCGAAGTCTCTCTTCCTCCCTCAGCATAGCTCCCTCAGACCCATTCGTAACCTGTCTGCAGCCTGGAAATACAGCCAGACCTGGCTCTGTAATCCTGCCCGGTGAGCAGAAGACACCGGCCAGAGGGTGGGATCAATGTTCTCACACCCTGGCTTGCAGGCCAACCAGCGGCCTCAGAGCTGTCCAACAGCAGATCAAGGCACCGCCATCACACCACTGTCTCCTGGTCCATGGAAGTCAGGGCTACTTACATGAAGTAAGACCCTGATTTTCAGACCTCTTTGTAAGTGACTTTGCCATGTGAATCTGCAGGAGCCAAGGATCAGCACGCCCTTTGTTCCCATGATCACAAACACCTGTATCTTCTAACGCCTGGGAAAACCAAGGAATTCATCCTTGGTCACAGAGCGATTTGGTAGCCAGACCTTAAGTCTGAAGAGTAGTGATAATAAGAGCTGATAATTATGTATCACAGAGGATACAGTAACTAATCTGACCTTCACAATAGCCCTAGGAGTCAGGGCGTATTAAGTGGGTGTCAGTGCTGAACTGGATGTCCAGGCCTGGCTCCAGAGCCATGCTTCTAACCACTACACACATTGCCTTGAATTATTATTATTTTTTAATTTATCATTTTAACCATTTTTATTTTATTTCATTTTGGGGGTGGGTATTAGGTCTTTATTTATTTGTTTGTTTGTTTATTTATTTATTTTTAATGGAGGTACTGGGGATTGAACCCAGGACCTCATGCATGCTAGGTATGCATTCTACCACTGAGCTATACCCTCCCTGCTTGCCTTGCATTATTACAGAGTAACACTGCAAGCAGAAACTCTGACCCAGTTGCAAAACTGGGCTCCCAAAGTCAAAACGTGTTGAACAAGAGCCTACTATGTGCCAGACATCAATTGCCGAAAATCAAGATAAGACAGCCCTGCCCCCTGGCACTTTAAGCCTACTGTGAGAAGCTCCTCCTAGGGCTCTTGTTCATCTCCAAAGAAGAGGGATCAAGGAAGACAAAGATGCTTTTCATGCTCAAAAAGGCTGCCCTGTTGTCTCCTCCGCAGCTCCCCAGCTCACGGGAGAGGGGAGCTGCAGGCGTCCCCATGGTGTTGAACTCCAGGCCATAAATTTGGTTTGGAAATCATCTGCTCTGGGCCAACAGAAATGCCATGGCAGCTGTACCAGAGACCAGCTTCACAACTAGAGGAATGCTGCCTGCAAACAGACAGCTTTTAAAGGCAGCTTCAGAAGAAGCCCTACCTACCCTGACATGGAGATCCTTCCCAGCTTGAGAAGAGCTCCCAGAAGGGTCCGTCTAGAAATGGCTGGCTCCTGAGGCCAACTGAAAAAGTTCTGAGATAGCACAGGGCCACTGCTGAAGACCATCGCCAATGGTCTGTGATGTCTCATTTGCAAATGTTTTAGGAACTGCAAGTATTTGTCATTGATCTCCCCCAAAAGGCAATGAGTTCTATAAAATGGAGTTTTATTTTTTTAATTGAGGTATAGCTGACTTACAATACTGAGTAAGTTTCAGGTGTACAACATGGTGATTCACAATTTTTAAAGGTTATACTCCATTTATAGTTATTATAAAATATTGGCTATATTCTCGGTGCTGTGCAATATATCCTTGTAGCTTCTTTATTTTATACATAGTAGTTTGTACCTCTTAATCCCCTTCCCCTACATCACCCCTCCTCCCTTCCTCTCCCCACTGGTCACAACTAGTTTGTTCTCTGTATCTGTGAGTCTTTTTCTTTTTTGTTCTATTCACTAGTTTATTTGAGTGTTTTAGATTCCACATATAAATGGTATCATACAGTAATTGTCTTTCTCTGTCTGACTTACTTCACTAAGCCGAATGCCCTCCAAGTCCATCCATGTTGTTGCAAATGGCAAAATGCCATTCTTTTTTATGGCTGAGTAATATTCCATTCACACACACACACACACACACACACACACACACACACATCTTCATTA